TACCCGCACATGGTTTTTTGCCTTTTTCGAAATTGAAAGTGTGGCATTGCCGGACTTGTTTCTTTATAGTGCGCTGCCACCATGAGGCTGCCGGGGGGTGGTGGTCTGGCTGGGGTTGCGGGGACCTTGTCCTTTTTTTTTTTTTTTTCCCGAAATTGAAAGTGTGGCATTGCCGGACTTGTTTCTTTATAGTGCGCTGCCACCATGAGGCTGCCAGGGGGTGGTGGTCTGGCTGGGGTTGCGGGGACCTTCTCCTTTTTTTTTTTTTTTTTTTTTTAAGGACAATGCTCCAATCTATTCGTGGGGAGCGGCGGGGACCTTGTCAGGTTGGCGAGGGACACCGAATAATCCAGAAGATGAAGAAGTGGGACAATGCTTGTCATGTCCACCCCATCCCCCACAGGGTCAGCCTCATGTACTGATAGACATTCATTATGCATGGCAGGGGCTTTCAGCCTCATATACGAATACAGATTTTGCGGATCATACAAAGGGCACTTAGACAGGAATGGACACATGGCATTGCCACATCACACAAACAATTCATATATATCATTTTTATTTTTATTTTTTAATTGGGGTGATCACAACTGTCTATATTCTTCTCTCAACTTCTGTTTGTTTACCTTCCACTACCTACTATCATTGTCTTGAACCGGGACACTGGAAAAAAAAAAAAAAAAAAAAGAACCGTCACACTGGATCCGATTTGGATCATCCCATTGAAAATTCGTACAGATAGTTTGAAATTACCTGGTCCATTACCCGGCTTCGGGGGGGAAGACAAAACATGAGCACAACTCGAGCAAACTTCTAGAAGCATAGAACCTACCCTCCGTCTATACTTTTTAGGTAATTTTTGCTCATAGTAGGTGACAGAGTTGGGGCTCTCGCGACGATTGACCCGATTGGTGCCTATGTTTGTGAGGGGAAAAAAAAAAAAAAAAAAAAAGAGTTGGGGCAGTGAAAACTTTTGTGGATACCTTTCTTCCCCTTTTGTTCATTTCGACCAGGTGCTATACCAATGAACAAGCCAAGCCTCCAATGGACGACCAGGTGCGATAGCTGCTACAGCCGGTGGGTGATAGAGAACAAAACCGCCGCCTCTGAGATTTCGCCAAAGCTCGGCGCGCATGCGTCGGATGTGCGGGTGGGTTTAAGCTTGGCGCGCAGGCGCAGGGGGGGTTTAAGCGCCGTAATGTTGGTCGAGTAATGTAGAGGTGCGACAGAGCCGATCAATAGTGTTACGGGTTGGATTAATTAAGCAGCAGAAGCGGGATCTGCGTGCTGTAGCGATGCAAAAAATAACAGATCAATCGTGATTTCCTGTACCTCTCCCTAAACAGGTCCGGATGCAGGCGCGTAGCTGCCCCAAAGACATCGGCCGTACCCAAAAAAAAAAAAAAAACAGTGTGCATCCACCTGTGTGTGTCACCTGGATGCGCCTCCACCCTCTGGGTCCAATGTTTTGTACCCAGCAACTTCCGCGGTTATGCAGCGGGACCCAAAGAAAAAAGCCAACTCATAGGGCAGGGACAGCGGGGCCACATAACCACCCTAGCTGGGTCTCATTCATGCCCCTCCACCCTCTGGGTCCAATGTCTTGCGTACCTAGCAACGACCGCGGTAATGCAGTGGGACCGAAAAAGAAAAAGCCAACTCACAGCGCAGGGACAATGGGCCACATAACCATAGCTGGGTCTCATTGGAACGCCGTGAGGATGGTCGGAGGGCAAGCTGGTGAAGAGATGGTGGCACTTTAGTGATAAGTCTTGTTGGACAGAGTCGTAGGGGTTAGATGGTGATTGATCCTTGGAAGGAGACTTCCGTTTTCATGATTTTTTTTTATTATTTTTTTTCTTTCTCTATATTCTTCTCTCAACTTCTGTTTTTGCCTTTCACAACCTACTCCTAAGGCTATCTAGAGGGGACCCCTGCAAGCATAGTTTCCTCTCACTGTGAAGGGGAGATTTCATGTTGCCCCTTGCCCCTAATGTTTAGGGTATAGGGTTGGGGCCGCCAGTGGGGGTCTGGCTAACACAAAGACAGAGACCTGCCAGTAGCTGCGCCTCCCTTTTTCATCGTCCCCCACCCCTCATCGAGTAGCAGCAGTGGCTATGGCCAACACTCTCCCACACACCACACACAACCCACTCGCGCTTGTACTCACACCCATGTTGGTCATAGATTCCACTAATACCGATCAGGAGTATCCAGAGGACTATCCCAGTTCATTGGCACTAAGTGTGCTGCAGGCAGTCATGGGGCTTGAACCCACAACCTCCTGAATGCCACTAAAGTGCCTAACCAACTGAGCTATCTAGTAACTTTCTACGTTTTTTTTATTTATTATTATTATTATTTTAGTCCTCTGGAAGGTTTTTGTCTTCGTCATGTCAGTTTTTTTTTTTTTTTTTTTTTTTTTTTAATTTATTTAATAAAAAAATCCATCATGAAGAGTTTCTAGTAACTTTCTACGTTTTTTTTTAATTGATTTATTATTATTTATTATTATTATTATTATTATTTTAGTCCTCTAGAAGGTTTTGGTCTTCGTCATGTCAGGTCTTCCACAGAACTGTTCTTAAATTTTCAAAAGTTTTCTAAAAAGATGTCCAAAGGTCTTGAGACGTTCTTAAAATGCGTCTGGGCCAGGTTCTCAGCCCATGGGACAAGTCCCACTAGCTGTCCAAAAAGTATAGGATGGGACAAGTCCCACTAGCATTCCAAAAAGTATAGGAATGAGGACTGTTCGTGTGTGTGACACTCTTTTCAGCCGCAGATAGCGAAGGGATAGAACGGTCCTAATTTTGTTGCGGTGTAAATGGTAGGAGGGTAGATCTTTCTCACCCTCTCATTCGTCATCAACTGTGCTAGGTATTCTTTCTCATAGTTGGATGGGGGTGTTCATTCATTCCTGACGGATGTTTTGATGGGTCAGGAATGAAAGCCAGTTGGGAAATTGGCAAGGGCTAGAATTGAAAAAAAAAGGGGTGAGAAGAGTGTGTAAGTCTGAGCAGACTGCCCTCTCTCTCTCTCCCTCTCTGTGTCTGTGTGTGTGTGTCTGTCTGTCTGTCTGCACACATGCACATGCTTTGTGCATGGACGTCATGGACGTCCACTCCACAGCCTTTGGTGGGGGTTCCAACCACATATACAAAAGGCAAAAACTATGGGGATGTATTTTCCCATGTACAGGCAGAAAATAGATTCTCATTTTCCACATTTGGTGAGGTGGAGCAACCGCAACAAAATGGCACGCTCCAAACTCCTGGCAGATTGTCATCATTGCAGGACCCTTCCTCACGGTTTTCAGAATGCCGCAAAAAACCTTTGAAATGGCACTCCTGGCAGATTGTCATCATTGAGGACCCTTCTACACGGTTTTCAGAATTCCTATAAAAACCTTCCAAATGGTGTCACACGCACGGTGCAGCAGCGCAGGTACAGGAATCAAAACCAAACTCGTGCTAGTGGGACTTGGCCCCCGGTAGTTCTCAGTCGAAGCCGGGTATCTTTTTTTTTTTCCGTTAAACTTCGTATGTGTTATGACCCTGGCCAATTTCGAGATACACATCCACCGGAAAGTACAATGCCATCCAATTGCAGAAAGAAATGAATGAACTCGAGAGGAGAGAGAGAGGATTACAAGAAGAAGAAGAAGTAAGAAAGAAGAAGAAGAAGATGTAGACCAACAAAGACAATGACAAGGCTCTTCTTCTTCGCCCAACAATCTCCTCCTCCTTATCTCTCCCTTCTCTTATTCATACAAGGAATAATAACACAATGTTGAATGACTGATCCAGAATCAATTTCCGAGTCCCTCTTCTACTGCAGGTATCACTTGAGGTCCACCATAGCCACGACCGCCTCCCCACTCTTCACTCTCATAGGCTGAGGCTATGGCGGACTACTAGGCCTTGCCCAGATTCCCAAAGGACAACCCAAAGCAGCTATGGCTGCTCTAGCTCAGGCCGCCATGCCCAACTCTGTGTTGAAGCTTCTTGGTGTGGCTTCCCCCAGTTGGGGACTCCTTGCTGCAGCGCCCACCAAGGTGATGAAGATGGCCGCCAGCATAGCCAGGTAAGTACCCCTGGTGCTCCTCCCCCTTCCTTCCTTCTTCCTCCCTCGTGTCCTTCTCCTTCCTCCCCAGCAGCGCTGCTCCAGCTTAGCGCTGCTCCAGCCAGCGCTCCACCAGTGTGTCCTAACTTGCACACCGAAAAGAGAGCTGGACTCTCCGCCCGGCCCGAAGATATAGCGGCCTGCTTTGCCTCTTGGGCGGTGACTTCCAGGCCGCTCGGCCTCCCAAGCAACCGGTACCTCCTCCCTTTCGGAGGGAAACATCATTGCAGACTCTGATATTGCCCGTACAGGCCCTAGACCCAGACTGGTTGGACTGATATCCGCCTAGACCTAACCTACAACTACTGGCCTTTAAAAATGCCACTTTTGTCTTCTTCTGCTCGGCCTCCGGTACCTGCACATCTACCTCTTCCAGGTGCGGTACCGGCCTACCCGCAACTTGAGTGTTTTTCCCCGCTGCAACCCCTCAATGTCACGGCCACAGGTGAGTACCGGCCCTGAGGGCCCCACGAACGAGCAAGTGCCCTGACGGGCCACACACATACTCATGCCAACCAGCACTCTGACAGGCACGATCACACATACACCCAAGCCAACCAACACTCAAACAGGCATGGTCACATAGACACTCAAGCCATCCAGCACTCAGACAGACATGCAGTCCAGCACGCGTGCACACACAAACTTAGTAGCAAGCGGGAAACTCAACAGGGCATTCAGTTTATGGGCAAAACTCGAAAATCAGTTGTGTTTTAGTCCATGTATGGACGGGTCATCACACTACTCCCCCCTCAAGAGGGAGGTCCCTTTGAGCGAGTAACTCATTATGAGTCCTCGACAAACGCATTGTAAGCGAGCAAGGCAAAGCGGTTCCTAGAGTACTTTGTTGCAGTGAGCCTTGCAGAGATCTTAGGTACAACGTTAGTGGCGATTTGTTGCTCGTAGGCTTTGACAACACGCGGTGCACTGCGTAGCAGTACCTGTTTGGAAATCCAGTACAGATCGTCTAATGGGTGGTACATGAAGTGAACCTGGTACTGTCTGTTGCGTCCCTTCCCTACACGTTGTTTGATCCTGTCTATCTCGTGCCCGCCTTTGATTGCACGAGGGATCATATCTTCGCGATAATCGAATGTCTTAGCATCACGGTGGAGGTACAGTTTGGATGTGTGGAACACGGGGTATGTGCGCCGATGGGCTGGCACATCAATGACGTACGAAGGGCCAAAGTGATCTTCACCGATCTTCACCAATCACATCCAAAACTTCCCAGGGCCCATAATAGAGAGGGAGCAACGCAAATGCGACGCGGCGCCATCCACTACCACACAACTTTGCGGCGCAAAGTCCAGCAGCAAACGGGGGAATTGATGAAATACCTTTCCCGACCCGTGAAGAACATCGTCGGAGCTACGACTGTGCTTTAACCCGGGTCAGCGTTAATCCGGTACCAGAAAATTGGCGCGCTACCACTCACACACGAGTCTCCAATCTGCCTAACCCCAACAAGAGCAATGAGTGTTTCGCCCGAATTTCACCGGCTCATTTGAGGCCTGACACTCGCGGGTAATCTCCTTACACCGCAAATCCTCCGCAAGTCGTGTCAACACTCGCGACGCAAATGCGACGCGGCGCCATGAGAATTCAGACATCTTGACCCAGACATAGCTTCCTACATGAATATCCGATGGTCGACGCTTCTTGTTTGCATGATGGATCATGGCGTGCTGTCGCTTGGTCATAGCTGCAATGGCAACTTTGAGCAAGCGATCATACTTGGCCTTGAAGCCAGGTCTGCCGGGTGTTAAACCAACTGGCTGCTCAGGGAATAGGTAAGAGAGCGGCTTCCGGATCTGCCAACTGTAATGCAGCCTGTTGGGTGTCATGCCGGTGGCGGAGTGGACGGAGTTGTTGTACAACCCCTTAACGGAATACAACTCCTCATCCCATGTTTCCTGATTCGGGATCTTCAAAGCATGAAGAAGTTGAAGCAGAGTCTGGTTGATCTCCTCAACCAAACCGTTGGCTTCGGGGTGTCGGCCAGATGTCATACACAACTTGATCCCCAGTTGAGACGTGAAGTCCTTCCACTCAGTACTAATGAAGCGCGGATCCTGATCGCTCACCAGAGTCTTCGGGGTTCCGAACTGCAAAATGTACTTCTGTTGGAAATCACGAATCGCTAGTTCTGTTGGGGCGTGAGGCGACAAAGGGATCAGGTTGAGGAACTTAGAGAATCGGTCAACAATCACCATGACCTGTGAGTAGCCGCTCTCACTTACCTTTCCCATGTCGGTGAAGTCGATGGAGACAGACTTCTCGGGACCATCGGGAATGGGTAGGGGTGTGAGTAGCCCCATCGACTTTTGTCTGCATGGTTTGATTTGTTGACATACTTGACATTCAACCACAAACTTTTCAGCAGTCCCTTTCATGCCGGGCCAATCAAACTGTCTCAACAAATTTGCGTTCGTTTTTGCCATACCGAAGTGTCTGCTCTGACCATGAGCCAAATCCAGAAAGTGCGTGCGGAGAGGCTCATGGTTGGGCACACACAAACGGTCGTGGTTCCCGTAGCGACAAAAAATCAGTCCTCCATACTTGTGAAAAGCAGGCTGACTGCTAGGGTCAGTCCGTAGCTTAAGGATGGAACTCAACTCCGGATGCTTGGCGGTATGCTCTACGAGCTCCTCCTTCAGTTTCTTCCGGAGGTCGTAGGATTTGACAAGGCAAGTCATGTACTCAGGGTGGCGAGACAATGCGTCAGCGACTCGATTATATCAGCCCTTTTTGTGTCTTAACTCAAAATCGAAAATGTCAATCTCATGGAACTAGCGAAGCAAGGTAGGGGACAGGGTAGTTTGTTGTTTGATCCACTTCAGAGTCTGATGATCTGAGAAGACTTTGAAGTGGCGTCCCAAAACATAGTGTTTCCAATGGTCCAACGCCATACGCAAAGCATAGAGCTCGCGCATGTAGGTGGAAGTGGCTACCTTTACGCCGGGCATGCGTTTGCTGGAGTACTCGAGTGGCTGCAAGCCATCGCCGTGATCTTGTTGATCTTGTTGCAGCACTGCGCCGATTCCATACTGACTTGCATCCGTAGTAACTACGAATGTCAGTTTGGGATCTGCAATGCGGAGTACCGGGTAACTTACCAAGGCGTCCTTCAAGGCGTGAAAGACGTTCGTGCACGCGGTATCCCAAGAGTAGGGAACATTCTTACTTGTTAGTCGAGACGATGGACGCGCAACAATGGAGAAGCGGGGCACAAACTTTCGATGGTATAACGCGAGACCAAGAAAATAACGCAGTTCGCGAATGTTTACGGGCTGAGGCCAGTTGCATATGACCTCCACCTTGGTTGCTTCAGGCTCTAGGCCTGCAGCAGACAACCAGTGCCCAAGATAGATGAGATGGAGTTGCATCTTCTTGACGATAGTCAGTACTTCCTCAAGGTGCTTGAGGTGTTCCTCCATGGACTTGCTGAAGATTAGAATGTCATCGAGGTAGACCACCACGAACCGGCCAATCTGTTCGCGGAGGACTTTGTTCATAAGGCTTTGGAAGGTGGCCGGTGCGTTCGTGAGACTGTAGGGCATTACGGTAAACTCGTAAAGCCCATCGCGTGTTTTGAACAAAGTCTTGTGCTGGTCCGCAGGATCGAATTTAATCTGGTGGTAGCCAGACTTGAGATCGATCTTGGAGAAGACCTTGCACCCACCTGCGACATCAAGCAAGTCATCTATACGAGGCAATGGATAGGCATTCTTTCTTGTGATGCGGTTTAGACCGTGATAGTCAATACACATGCGGAGTTTGCCTCCTTTCTTTGGAACAAACAACACAGGAGCGCAAAATTCAGATTCGCTAGGCTTGATCCACCCCTTATCAATCATCTCATCAATCTGTCGCCGGAGTTCCTCCAACTCGCCGGGTCCCATTCGGTATACGCAGCCCTTTGGAGGAACAACACCTTCAACCAACTCGATGGTGTGTCGGACCGATCGCGTTGGGACTCCACGTGGCTCGGCTAGAACTTCTGGAAACTGATTGAGGAGGTTTTGGATGTCTGGTGGGACCGATGGGGGTGGGGGAATAAAGGGGTCGCCTAGATCCGGTCGCAGGTCGTGGATAGAGACGACCGAATCTGAAGTAGGATCATTCGGACCATTAGAGGGTAGAGAAATAGAGGTGCTAGAAGTAGAAGTACTATAAGTAGGATCACTAATCGAACTAGTAGTGGTATTAACTGCAAAAGTAGATGGCATATGGGTATGACGAACAAAGGCAACATACAACTGTTCTTCCTCCTTGTGCTTGCGCCATTTCTTGCAGAACTGCATAGCATTCAAAAAAGTCACTTGGGACTCGTGCTTCTCATCCAAGAGGACAGGAAGCTCGTTCCCTCGAGCATCTTTGATCATAAAAAGTGACTCGTTCCACTTGGTCCATTCGCATTGGGACTGCAGCCAGCCCAAGTGAAGGACAACGTCGAAGGGGCACTTGTCAAGAACATAGAAGTTCAACGCGTGTGTGACAGTTTTGTCCTTGTCAAAGGTAGTGCGCGTACCTTTGAGTGCATGCGTAGAAGAGAACTTCTTTGTTGCCAACTTGGGTCCGGCAAGGGTTTTGCAAGGCCACTTGCTTCATCCCCAAACCCGCTTTGCGTATCCCATGAGGTGACATAAAGTTAGCCGTAGCACCACAGTCAACCAAAACATGGAGATAGCGGTGGTTTATGAGAAGTTTAAAGAAGATCAACTTTACCGTCCCCTGGGCACACTGCTGTTTCATCTCAGCCGAATGCTCCAAGTGGTAGTGAAAATCGACCGTCCCAGACTCCTCCCAAGACTCGACATACAAAACGGTACTCACCTCAGCCGTGTGTTCAACAGATGATTGGGCTTCAAGGGAGGACTGTTGATCTGCCTCACATTCTGTCTCCCCTGCTGTAGAGTTTGTTGAAGTATGACTCTATGCCCGGTTCTAGTTTCCCTGCAGCCTATAACAATCTTGTACCTTATGGTTTGGTTTTTGGCAATGCAGGCATACCCCCTTCTTGAGTCGACCACGCCAGTCATTTTCAGTAATCCGGAGGTCGACGCAAGGTGTAGTAGTCGCATCCTCCGGTTTAGGCGGGATCTTGACTCCCTTGGGAAGTTGGACATAGTTCTTCCCTGCACTCCGATTCGGTCCCTTTGCGTTGGCAGTCTTTTTAAAGGCAGTAAATTTTTCTTCTTCTGTGTTTGCATCAGACTCATGGGCTGAAGAACAAGCTGTATCAGAGTCCTGTTCTTGGTTGTCACCAAGAGTGGGGTCATCTGCATCGGCCTCTTCTTCGCCTTCAGCAGGTCATGCACAACAAAACGGTTGTTGTCTTTGAACTGTCTGCCGCCCATGGGCTTTTTGCTGCTTGCTGTGGTGACGAGGTCTACAGCCTCAAGACTGACTATGTCCTTCATCAAGGTGAACCAGTCAGTGTAACCAATGAAGTCCCTGCCCAGGCGATTGGTAAAGTTGGTGGGAACCGCGCCTTTGACCACATCCAAGCAAGATTGCATAGTCAGTTCCAATCCGGGTGTAGCAAACATCTTGCTAAGATAGGTCTGCAGGCTTTTCATGGAGCCCGTCCACTTGCTGTGCTTGATTTTGGCAAGTTGAATTTTTGCCCTTGCTGCGCATGTGGATCCAAGTATTGCGATATGAGGAGGTCCTCGAGGGAGGCAACCGGGGTGGCCTTAAGCCATCTGGTTAGTTCTATTTTAGGAATCCCAGCCCGCGTGGCTTGGGCCTCTAAGAAGCTCCGCACGACCGGCTCAACATTCATTCCCATGATCACGGACTGGGTCTCAGGTTGAGTCTCGAGCACCTCGAAGTATGCCCTCATGGAGCTGATTCAGGATTCGATGTCTTCTTTGCCGTCGTACTTAGACGGTATTTGAACCGCCTTTCGGTCCACGTAGGGACCAACGCGGCTGGGACCAGCACCTGCTGGTTCCAATCTTGGGGCTGCAGCAGTTGCAGAATTTCCAGCCTCGTTGCTTGTCACAACAACAACGGAATCTGCACTTGTTGCAGGCCCCGAGGGGGTTGCCAACACATTCAAGGAAGAAGACATAGTAAGAGAGGAGAGGTAGTTTCAATTGCAGCTTCAGATCCAGGGGGTAGAGGAAGAGGGTTGGCCACTTGGGCTTGTCGCAGCTCAACCACCTCCTTTGCCAATTCATGGTACTTGCGGGTCATATCAATCAGATCATCTTGAAGTGTTCGCAACTTTTGCGAAGACTTCAGCGATCTGAGTGGTATGATCCTCAAGATTCCTGACTTTAACAAGGGCGGTGAGTATAGACTGCAATTGTTCCCCACACTGCTCTTCGGTCAGTGAGGGAACAATCTCTAGGATGGCCACCTGCCTTTTCAGCAATGTCTCCTTCCTCTCCTTCTTTGCCTCCTGTTCCCTTTTGGTTGCACTATCTAGGAGTGCTTGTAGATATGTTTTTTCGGCATCACTGGCTGCATCTAACAAGGCCCGCCATTGCACTGAAGTTAGCTGAGCCATTTTTGGACTGTTAGTATTGACAGGTGGGTCAGCGAGTCGCCAGTTAGCAAAAGAATCAATTAGACTCTCAAGAGGTTCCCTCCCCCTCTCATTTGGACAAACACTCCTTTCCCAGTCCTTGCCCACTTCAGACGGTCACTTTCCCTCTCTCCCTTTTCTCTCTCCCTCCTCTCTCTCTCTTCTTTCTGGTTGCGAGTCTCCACGGGCATCGGAAATGAACTCAGAGAAACAGACTGAAAAGCTCAGAGAAGAGAAGGTAGAACTCCTAGCTGGAGTGGCATTTCGTTTGGATGTAGAGAGCAACCAACCAAAGAGAAAAAAACAAATAAGTTCGAATCAGAGGTCTGATCCAGCGACCCAATTTGATCAGACTGCATACGAGGTCCTCTCGAGTCCAGTCTGACCAGCTCTGTGACCGTACAACAAATCAGACAACGAGTGACTAAATGCAACAATGGAGAATTGAGTGGTGTACAGGCTGCGAGTCAAGCCACGGACAGTGTAATTCAGAAGACATGCGAAACGTCTCATCCAAGATCCCCTCGGCAGTGGATGTCCTAATCCAAGAAGAATGAACTCCGTATCCCAGCCAAGAAGACAAGAGGTCAATACCTAACCGATTTGGGTCCAGAGGCTCTTCTTGTTTGGGCCCGGTCCCGCTGGGTCCTAGGGGTCCCACGTAGGTCTCAACCAGGTCCCAACCAAGAGGAGTTCCATATGGACTTAGTTCAGTCTCCACTGCACTGAGAAACGAAATTTCAACTTTTGGTAGAACCTACAGACTACAACCGTTCAGAGATGAAAGACAAAGCACTGTAGAAAGACTCGGCATTTAGGTCGAGATACTTCATTTTCCATCCATCAGGTGTGTAGGTAGATCACATGCATTCAGTCACACAATCAAGACCACAGAGGAGTAGGAAAAGAAACCCTGAGTACCCCAGCAGGACAATCAATACCATACACACATACATGGGAATCCCGTAGGTGCATGGCACTTACCTGACTGGCCTTGAGCTTCGAGATGAATAGAACTCACCCCTTTTTCATGTGGTCCTCCTGACCCCTCTAACGCTACCCCTACACTAGTGTCCTATCTCCTGGGAGGGTCTGACTCCAACGCCAAAGTGCAATGCCGAATCCCCCGTCGATGTTGAAGAACCAAGTGGCAACTTGCAGTCCGTAGATGCTGAGTGGCCGCTGACCCTCAAGCTCGCCTACTTGAGGGCAGCCCTTAAGTTGCCAAGTGTCTCCCTTGAATCAGCTTCCAGGTGCGAGTGCCTCTCACTGTTGCCTCTCTCAAATCGCTGCATGAAGTCCCCTCGAAATGTCCCGCCACCCTAATCTCACTCTCAAGCAACCTGGTTAGGTTCTATGTCGACCCCACATGACCTAACCACGTGGGGGCAGCTTCCCTTAGCCACGCTGCCCCACTTCCCTCAACCAACCAACCCTAACCCTAAGTGTTGCCCTCAACCACTTAGGTTAGGGTTAGGGCAGCAAAGTCTTTTTTTTTTTTTTTTTTTTTTTTNGTCACCAACAACACACTCGAACGCGAAGTAAGAGAGACTCGCTCTACGATTTTCGTGACTTGATCTAGCTGCACTTGTGGTAAGTAAGAGAGGTCGCCAACAACACACTCGAACGCGAAGTAAGAGAGGTCACCAATAACAACTCAAACGCGACACATGATCGCCATTACTGACGACAAGATATGTGAGAAACAGTCTCAAAGAACACGATCTCCAGAAGAACAGCGTTACAATCCACCATCTCCATGATCGTGTGTCAAAGCTTACCTCCATCCATGACTCATCCCCAACTTTCGCTGCCAAAGCTGCCCCTTTCCCCCTTCTTTTCACACTCAAACTTGATTTCCGTTTCCCTCTGTACCAATCTTTTTTTTTTTTTTTTTTTTTTTTTTTTTTTTTTTTTTTGAACAAACACCCTCCTGCAGTGCTGGTGCTGCTGATAAGAGCAGTCAACACTAGCACCCGGGGGGGGACTCCATCTATTGGTGGGGAGCGTCACTTGCTGGAAAGCGGGTCCAACGTCCCTTACAACAAAAGAATCAATAGTGAGAAATATGAATGAGAGGGACGCCTGCCAGCATTGATTGCTCTGTCACCAGAGGATTGACTGTGCAGGTTGGTGGACAAGGGATAAGACCTCTTCACCCTGTACTGGGCGCCATAATCCTATCACTGAAGAGCTAGTTTATCCCTTCCTCCGCACTATATAATAGAATCATCCCAGAGAACACCATATAGAAAGACTGCTGTATGTTGATGCTACTTTCTACAAGCCGTACCATTGTAACCCCACTAGACAGTGGGCAGGGGGGGGGAAGGGATCGGGGAAGTCTCCGGGGGGTCTGAGGGGGATCTCTGCGTCTATCTTGGCCCACTCGTAGAATATCAGTTGAAGGTCTGTTAGTGCCCCTGCTCCCGGTTGACCCTCTCCTGTCCCCCCTAACTGTCCTTTCCACTCCACCTTCCCGATTCTCCCTCCGTCCGGTCCGCCCAGCCAGCTTGTGCTAAAGTCTTGTATTTTTTGGGTGATGTCTTTGTGTGTTTGTAGTGGCCGAATGTGAGCTCTGACCACTTCCCATCTGGCCGTTATTCCTGTTTGAATCTGCTGGATCACACTATCGGTGAATTCCGGGCCTTCGAGTCTCGCCCCTTCCATCTAGAAGGTGCAGCGCCATCTCCATAGTGCCCAGATGACCGCCCTTCGTCCAAGTTTAAACATATTGACAGTAAATTCCTTAGGGGGATGGTCTGTTTGTCCTCTAAGCCAAGCTTCACATAACAGCGCCTTCCAGTCCCAGGGCCAGGGCGTGGTTGTCCCTAGTTGGTCCCAAATTCGGTCCCACCATCTCCACATGCATAGCGCGCCTGGGCATTGTAGAAATATGTGTTCAATGGTTTCGGGGTGTTTTCGAGCCGGGAAGGCATTCATGCACAATTTACACCAGGGGAGAGCCAGCCCCCTTTGTTCCAGCGTAGTTCGATCTATCAGCCAGTTGTTGGTTGGTAGGCAGCGATGCTCCAACTGCCATTGAAGCGACGCTATTTTGGCAGGTTTTACCTTAGCCAGCCGAAACCATTTTAGTGGTCTGATCTCCTCTTGGCTGATGTTTAGGTGAGTTCTCCATCGTTCTCCACCCTGGTCAAAGAGGTTGAGTTTTGGTCTGAGAAGCCTGTATGCTGTTTTCACTGTTAATCCATATAGCGATTTTGAGTCGTTCCTTCCTTTTTTTCTGTGGGTTGTCCATGTCCATTCCACCGGGTCCAAGGGTAGCTGTTGGATCGGGGTGGATGGTCTCAAGGCTATCCGTTGTTGGCCTCCTCGGAGCACCCTAACACGAAAAAGTTCGGTCCTTGGGTGGGCTGGCGTTGTGGTCTTAGTGTTTTCTGGGAGGGCATCTCCCTTCCCTATGTGGAAGCAGGTCACGGTTACAGTTCCATCTGGCTGCGTGGAGATGACCCTACCTACCTCTCCCTTCCTTCCAGGGCATGCCACCCAGTCATCTTTCTGCAGGGTGGGGCCTTTGCGTAAGATTCTCAGCCAGTTGATGGGGATCATTTCCGCTACCTTTTCCAGGGCTTCCTGGGGGTGCTGACAGTATCGCAGCTTTTCTCGTAAATGCTCCGCGTCAATCCACTCTCCTTTTTCTGTATCCCAAATATCCCAAATTCTTGTGATCCCGTTCTTTACCCACCCTTGCCACGGCGAGGCCATGCAGTGGAGAGTCTGGCCATTCGTTTTTGTTATCCACCTATTGCCGAAGAGGGGTTGACGCACTACTTCTTCCCATCTTTCTGGCGGAGTTTTATCTGGGAGGGGGAGACTTCTCCAGGTGTTGAGGAGGTTGGGCCAGAAGGGGTCCTTTTTCAGGTCCTCCTTGGCCATTTGTCTGGTTGTGGTCGGCTGAGAGTCCCGTTGCCGTGACGCTCTGGGGATGGTCCAGTCCCGGTTTTCCAACCACATTAGAGGGTCTTTGTCTTCTGTTGTTTGGGGGGCTAGTCTGGAAATTTGCTCCAAGGCCAGCCCCTGCCAGGGGGATTCAGTGTTGAAGATGAGTCTCTTGATCCACTGAATTGCTAGTGCTTTTGTTTGCGTTAGGGGATCGATAATTCCCAGCCCCCCCCTTGCTTTGGGCTGTGTGATGGAGTGCCATGCTACGCGGCTGATCACGTTCTGTTTGTCATGGGCCCCTCTCCACAAAAAGGCAGCTATTTGGCGTTGTAGAGGTCGTAAGGTCTTTTTATCCAGGGCCCAAATTGCGGATTTGTACCACATTGAAGCCAGGACCACAGGGGCGTGATCCATTCTTGATTGGTGGACGGCCTACATTCGGCCGTTATAGAGATGCCTAACACTCTTATAGGAGCAAAGTCAACTCTCACCAGCAAGTAGAATCCGCTCTGATATCAATGTTATGACCTGGCCAATTTCGAGATACACATCCACCGGAAAGTACAATGTCATCCAATTGCAGAAAGAAATGAATGAACTCGAGAGGAGAGAGAGAGGATTACAAGAAGAAGAAGAAGTAAGAAAGAAGAAGAAGAAGATGTACACCAACAAAGACAATGACAAGACTCTTCTTCTTCGCCCAACAATCTCCTCCTCCTTATCTCTCCCTTCTCTTATTCATACAAGGAATAATAATACAATGTTGAATGACTGATCCAGAATCAATGTCCGAGTCCCTCTTCTACTGCAGGTATCACTTGAGGTCCACCATAGCCATGGCCGCCTCCCCACTCTTCACTCTCATAGGCCGAGGCTATGGCGGACTACTAGGCCTTGCCCAGATGCCCAAAGGACAACCCAAATCAGCAATGGCTGCTCTAGCTCAGGCCGCCATGCCCAACCCTGTGTTGAAGCTTCTTGGTGTGGCTTCCCCCAGTTGGGGACTCCTTGCTGCAGCGCCACGAAGGTGATGAAGATGGCCGCAGCATAGCCAGGTAAGTACCCCTGGCGCTCCCCTGGCGCTCCTCCACCTTCCTTCCTTCTTCCTCCCTTGTGTCCTTCTCCTTCCTCCCCAGCAGCGCTGCTCCAGCTTAGCGCTGCTCCAGCCAGCGCTCCACCAGTGTGTTGCCAAACTTGCACACCGAAAAAGAGGCTGGACTCTCCACCCGGCCCGAAGATATAGCGGCCTGCTTTGCCTCTGGGGCGGTGACTTCCAGGCCGCTTGGCCTCCCAAGCAACCGGTACCTCCTCCTTTTTGGAGGGAAACATCATTGCAGACTATGATATTGCCTGTACAGGCCCTAGACCCAGACTGGTTGGACTGATATCCGCCTAGACCTAACCTACAACTACCGGCCTCTAGAAATTCCACTTTTGTCTTCTTCTGCTCGGCCTCCGGTACCTGCACATCTACCCCTTCCAGGTGCGGTACCGGCCTACCCGCTACTTGAGTGTTTTTCCCCGCTGCAACCCCTCAATGTCACGGCCAAAGGTAAGTACCGGCCCTGAGGGCCCAACAAACGAGCAAGTGCCCTGACGGGCCACACACATACTCATGCCAACCAGCACTCAGACAGGCACGGTCACACACACCCAAGCCAACCAACACTCAGACAGGCATGGTCACACACACACTCAAGCCATCCAGCACTCAGACAGACATGCAGTCCAGCAAGCGTGCACACACAGACTTAGTAGCAAGCGGGAAACTCAGCAGGGCATTCAGTCTGTGGGCAAAACTCAGAAATCAGTTGTGTGTTTCAGTTCATGTATCGACGGGTCATCACATATGTGGAAAAAAACCTACTTAGGGAGGTGATTGCCTGGGTATCTTAATGGATCTGTAAATTTCTAAGAGGGACACTGGGCCGGGTTCCCAGCACGTGTTGCTCCCTACGAATAGAGTGGAGCAAAAAACAAAAAACAAAAAAACAAAAAAAAAATTCTGCCCATGGTGCCCTGAGTTTCACATGGGCCCATCCTCCGAGACCCAGGTTTGCCTTTATGAGCATTCCAAACCAATCCTTCGTTTTTTTTCCTTTCATCATTTGATACCCGAGAATGTAAGCAACCCCGTCACTTCCCCCCCTCCCCCCCCCCCTCCTCTTGTGTAACCGGGGGCCATTTACCTGCAGAATCTACCATCCAGAATGAGGAACTCAGTGGGGGAAAAAAAGGAAAGGGGGGAAAAAAAAAGGGGAAGGGGGGGGGGGAAGAAGAAAAAGAATGAAGAACCAAGGCAATGGCGGTGACCATGACCATGGTGTTCACAAAGACAGAGACGATGATGGAAGTGATAATATCCTTAAACAAGGACAATGGCAATGACAAAAAAAAAAAGACAAAGCTCATTCTTTTCCTTCTTCTTCTTCTTCTTCTTCTTTAAGGCAGGGTAACCGCCTTGAGAATTTATTACGAACTGGCCGTCGTAAGGTAAGTTATTAATACTTGTTATTACTTCATAATTCTGCCAGGAGTCTTCCAATACAGAGAACCTGTGCATGGCCCTGGGGTCATTCTTGTTGTCTCTCAACACAGCATGGAGGCCTCAGATAAATAATAATATAACCCAGGGTCGCGCAAGTGGTTGCATGCCTGAGTTGCACTGCATATGTGCCATGTTCATTATTGTTCAATCACTGAGAATCCTAGTTTCCCCTTCGTTTTGTGTCGCTCTCCTCCCCCCCCCCCCCCCCCCCCCCCCCCCC